AAATATATATTTATATACATATATACATATATCCTTTGATTTCAGATTCGTGGGTTTTTTTTGCGCAATTTCCGCAGGAGAGAGCGATATGAAATTAGGACTGTGTTGGTCCGACCCGCAGGCGTATTGTTTGTCCATTAACTGATTCTTTCTGAACAACTGAAAGTTATTCCTACTGACTACGCAAAGTATATCATCTCATTTTTTTATTAGGTACAACAGAGGTACCATATTATCCCTTACCTGGTTGATCGCCGACGCATGCGCCTGCTGTGGCCCATCTCCGTATCGGTGAGCTTTATCTCCTTATGTCCCACCATTTTATCTGGTATATATCTCTGCAGGTATTGCTAAAGCTGCTGCGAAAGTGTTCGTAGTGCCTTTGTAGATCACTATCAAATTTACTTTCTCCTGTCTGCGAAAGCTAAAGTGTTTTGTGTTGAAGGAAGGAAGCTATGACATGATGTTCAGTTGTTCACACATTGCTGTTATTATTATAGTACATCTTGGGTGATGAGAATACTACAATATTTTATCTCGCTGCTATGTGGTTTTTACTACATTTGGTAACCTGACCACAAACTGCTATATATGGCGCTCACCAGGAGTCAACCTTGGAGCCTGATAAAAATTTGATAAAATTAAGAGTTTTTTTTTAATTGGTACGTGATTTTACAATGTACGTATAATACATATGTTCCAGGGACCCGGACTCTCGCCGGTAACTGGTACATAAGGGTCCGGAAGCACTAAGCAGGGAATCTCGTAGGGCTGGCGTTAGTCATAGCCGAGATCATAGTTTATAAGGGATTATGTATGATGCGGGATGCCATCATGATCATTGCCACATGTATTTATCAGTGATAATCAATATGTACACATGAGCCTGAGCATTGAGATTTGGGTAGTGGATAATGTACGTTGTGCAATCGAGCACGCCAATGAAATTCCCGCGTCTCCGCTTTTCTACACTGCATTTTTTAAACCATTTACATATATGTATGTATCTTCAGAATTAATTTATTTCAACAGAACCAAAACGCAGCAGAAGGCAGATTTAGAACTTTTCCCCAAGTATAAATGTGTACTTCCACCGTCGCTTTATTTTGTCCTGCGCGTTAAATAGTGATTTATCAAACATTCGTTCATCAACTTAAAGGTACGTATAGTACAAATGTAGGCCATTGTCTACTGAGGAACTCGAATACACTCTTAGGCTCGCACGCAATGCGTAATAGCAACTTTTTTTTTTGACAATTTTTATTTTTTTAGGTATGATGACAAAATATCTTCGGTTCGAGAATGTTAGCAGGGTTTAAAAGTACCAAGTGTATTTTCTACATCTAATATACTGATTCGTTGTTGTACGATTATCAGTGAGACAACACTTTTAATCCTTACAATGTTCGAATAAGGTCGTGAACTGCATCATAAGCATCATCCTGGAGCTTTGTATCGGCAAATATGGGAATGAAGGTGCTTTGGTCCTCCACCGGACCAGAAAGACCCCCCTCTTTTGATGCTAGGAAGGTACCAGACTTTACGTCCGCATTTCCCCTCTTAAACAAAGCATCTACGTATCTTGAAGCACCACTGTCAACTGAGTGAGCCATGCCAAATAGACCGAGTAGCGGCACTGCAACATTCAGCATGAAGAACTTAAACACCCCGCTGCTGACATAGTTATCCATTATGTTGGTACCAGCTGTCATTCCTGGACTGCAGGTCACTATGTGGTGCTTAGGATTCTTTCGCGCAAGCGATGCTATGTACAACGCCGCAATCGCTTTGGTGTATTTGTAGGCACTATCACCATTAAATTCACGTTTGCTCTTACCAGATAGGTGGTTATAAACATCTTCCTTATACGGTTCGTCGAATTTAGCAGGTTTCATGCTCAATGAGGACACACCCCGTGCCGCTTCACTTCCTGAATACACCACAGTCAGTTGGTCGATTTTACCGCTGTCTAATAGTTCCTCGGTAAACACAACGTGGCCTATCACATTAGCTAGATGCATTAGCGGGTTGCCCTTGCTATCGTTGCCTGAGATGTTCCCTCCAGCGTTAAGCACCACACCATTCACCGTATACTCGTTTAGTACCTTCTCCGCAGCAATCTTGCACGAAACGATATCAGTTGTATCCATAACAACCACATCGAAAAAAGTTGACGGCTTTTTGGTCAGGCCTACGAGCTGGGCCACAGCGTCCTTCCCTTTTGCTTCACTGCGACAGGTCAAGATCACTTTGTGCACCTCAGCCTCCCCAGCGAGCTGTCGGCAGGTTTCAAAGCCGAGCCCTGCGTTAGCACCAGTTACAATAACAGTATTCATTTTGTGTTTTATATGTTCTGATTTTTAGTAAGAGATTTAGGCATGAAAGCTACACCACGTATATACTATTTATATATAAAAGTTCCGAATCACAACTTCACAAGTGTATATATCCAGTATCCTATTCCACTCTCTTTCACCCCTTCCTCCCGAGGGGAGTTGCTTCTTTTTTGTGAAAAAAATGCGTTTTTTTTTCTCCATAAAAACCAATATTAAAAAGAGTGGAAGATTTCTGATTTGAGTGATTTCCAGTGGGTCACTGTGGCACTGGGGCCTGGGCAGTGGGCCGTGCAAACACGTTTTCCAAATTGCTTTAAATATTACTCTGAGGGCACGTGTATGTACTATGTTGCCGAGCGCATTCGGCATCCATACTTATATAGATTAGTTACTAATTTTTATTGGGGGGCTACATAGAGTATATTGGCTACACAGAATAGTCCAGAACTCAGAACGGAGAGTGAGAAGTGATCAGAACGGGGAACACAAATATACCAATTACCAACAAGCAAGAGGCAATACAAACATAGAACATACATATCTATCATAAATTCCATACATACATACATATTGTTTCCATAGCATCCTTCGTTGTGCAAATCAACAATATATATGTAAAATGGATGCGACTATACTAAATACCTCATTCTCACTGTAGACAGACCGCCTCGCGTTTACAAACGACTGAGCAGGTCGTGCACTTCAGCTCTATTTGAGAACATTCATTCCCCTTTTGAGGAGAATCACAGTGCCGTGCATACCGAGGTTGAATGAATATAATATGAGGGTCATAAATACAAACCTTAAAACTATCAGGCACCCGCGAAGAAATCGACGCCTACTACATCAAGCAGGTCTACGCGCTCCTTTTCAGTACCCATGTATTAAATAATA